GACAACACAGAGCCTGCTTGGGATTCTCTCTCTGTCTCTCTCTCTCTCTCTCAAAATAGATACATAAACATTAAAGAAAAAAGAACAGGGGCGCCTGGGTGGCGCAGTCGGTTGGGCGTCCGACTTCAGCCAGGTCACGATCTCGCGGTCCGTGAGTTCAAGCCCCGCATCGGGCTCAGGGCTGATGGCTCAGAGCCTGGAGCCTGTTTCCGATTCTGTGTCTCCCTCTCTCTCTGCCCCTCCCCCGTTCATGCTCTGTCTCTCTCTGTCCCAAAAATAAATAAACGTTGAAAAAAAAATTAAAAAAAAAATAAAGAAAAAAGAACAAAAAAGAAAGAAAGCATCCTTGTTTGAAATACTTATATATATCCCTGTTAGATGGGTAGGTCTCCTCTGTTGAGTTTGAGAAGATCAGCTGTTTTATCTCTGTAAAATGTAGTTTAAAATCTATTAGGGAATTTAATTACTTAAGTTTGTAATGGGTATGTATTTTTAGAAATTAATCTGTTGAACCTATGAGTTAATTAAATATTCATCAAAGAATAAGTGAAAGTAATTGTTCTTATTTTTATACAAAAATTAGTAGATTTATAAATAGAAAACTAGATTTGCAAGTTGCACTTGGCTGTTTAAGAAAAAACGAGTTCTTTTTTTAATTTATAAGTTTAATAAATACAGTATTAATTTAAACACAAGCAGCAGTTGCTAGCTTTTCTCTGCACGAGAGCCCCTCTCCAACATTAGAGATCCTCAGCTGATGAAATCCGACACTATAGCCCTGCTGGAAGATTCGGCATTCCGTGGACTTCCGTGCCTTTCCTTCTGTGCATCCCTCTGCCTGGAATACCTCGGACACATACACATCTTTGATAGCTGGCAACATTTTACCTTTTTCAGAAGATCCAGCTCAAACTCCACAAGGAGGTCCTGCCTTGCCGGGGCAGAACCATGCTTCCCTGGCCACATCCACCCAGGGGTGTGGGGCCCAGGCCTCTCTTAGACCAGACGTGGGGGGCTGTGAGCTGAAACCTTCTCTATCCTGGCTGCCATGTGAGAACAGAGCTGAATCCCAGCAAAAGAAACAGAAGGACTGGTACAGATGCCCAGGGTGTGGACTGGTACAGATGCCCAGGGTGTGCCGGGCACTTCAGAGGCCTAGCTGTGGGGGACGTAGATTTCATGCTCTGTGCAGAAAGGCAGCCTCCTGATTGGGCACCAAGATTTTCTATGGCTGAGGCGCCTGTCTCTCCCTGTATCCTCTTCCCCAGACCACACCAGGAAGGGTACAGTAGGTAGACTAATGGCTCCACAAAGATGTCCACATCCTCCTCCCTGGAGCCTTTTACATGGCAAAGAGGAATCAAGGTTACAGATGGAATCAATGTTACTAATCAGAAGACTTTAAGGAGGGAGCTTGTCATGGATTATCCTGGTGGGGCCGGTAATAACCACAAGGTCCTTGAAAATGGGGAAGTGGAAGAGAGTCACAGGCAAGGGCCACTATGGAAGCATGGTTGGGGAGAGGCAACATCATGCGCTTTGAAGATGAAAGAAAGGTGCTGTGAGCCATGGCATGCGGGTGCCTCATCCTAAGCTGGAAAAGACCAAAAAAAAAAAAGCCTCCAGAAGGGAACAGAGCCTTGCTAACACCTTGATTTTTAGCCCAGCGAGACTGCTGTCCTACAGAATGTTAAGACAATACATTTGTGGGGCGCCTGGGTGGTTCAGTCGGTTGAGCGCCCACTTCACTTCAGGTCATGATCTCGAGGTTCATGAGTTCGCGCCCCGCGTCGGGCTCTGTGCTGACAGTTCAGAGCCTGGAGCCTGTTTCGGATTCTGTGTCTCCCTCTCTGCTCCTCCTCTCCCGCTCACACTCTGTCTCTCTCTCAAAAATAAGTAAACATAAAAAAAAAAAGATAATACATTGTGTATAGTTTAAGCCACTACAGTTGCTGAAACTTGTTACACCAGTGATAAAAAAAATATATCGGAGGCAGGCGTGGGTGGCTCAGTCGGTTAAGCGTCTGACTGGCTCACATCATGATCTTGTGGCCTGTGGGTTCGAGTCCAGCGTCTGTGCTGACAGTTCAGAGCCTGGAGCCTGCTTCTGATTCTGTGTCTCCCTCTCTCTCTGCCCCTCCCCTGCTCATGCTCTGTCTGTCTCTCTCTCTCTCAGAAATAAACATTAAAAAAAATAATAAAAAAAATACACGGAGTCAGCCACACGCTTCATTTTTTGAATCAGTGACATCAGCATAATTGCTTTCCGGACCACAGATGAGAACCAACCAACCAGGTCCAAGTCTGGGCTCCGACCCTCATCGGCCACGTGGACCGCCAGCCAGTGTTCATCCGTGCCCTGGGGCAGGGCTGCCTCACCTGGCCGTTGGGAGCACATCACAAGTTCATGGAGGTACAGCAAATGGAAGCAGGGCTCTTAGTTCAGTGCCAGCTGGGACCTAGCGTCCGGTAAATGGTTGCTGTCTGGGTTGTAGTTGGTAGTTGGCAGGGCCCTTCTTGCTTTGCTGACTTACAGGAGAAGTGATAAGTGGTGACGTGACCTCCATTCTGGGGGCCTGACTACCACATCCTGAACTCATCCTGCTGGCCTTTTCCGGAGAGCGTGCAGGCCTCACTAGCGGTCCTGGAGAGCTGGGGACCCTTGGCCCTTCGTTCCTGGCCCCTGGCTTCTGATCTGCCCTCTCCACCCTCGTCCCAGGCTGATCACCGCCTCCTCCCTGCAGGCAGGTCTGTGCTGGTCCTCCCGGTGGTGCCAGCTCTGACCACGCAGCTCACTGTGTGATCCTCCCCACAGCCCTGTCCCAGGGTTCTTGCCATATCCCGCACCAGAGAGGCCTGGAGCACACGGGCAGGTCTGCAACCAGCCAGACCTAAGCCCTGAGCCCTGTCTTCTCCTTAATTTATAGCCCTGGGGCGCCTGCTTTTGGCTCAGTCAATAAAGCAAGCCACGCTTAATCTCAGGGACCTGAGTTCAAACCCCACATTGGGCGGGGAGCCTACTTCAAAAAAAGTACAGCTCAAGAAGCGAGTCCCCAGAGGCCTGTGGACCCCAGTGTGGCGAGCTGGTCCTGGAACCTTCTCTGGGACCCTGGCTCTTCCTCAGGTTGTAAAAATACCTGTTATATTTATCAAATAATATTAATAGCACAGAAAAACAAGCATATTTATATTTAAAAAAATCTATCGTCATCGTCTTCGTAAAAAAGGAGAGAAAAAAATGCAAAGAAAACGTCCCTCCAATTCTTCCACCGAGAACGCCTCCTGGAAATCTAATTTTCTGCCTTCCAATTCCACTGTTTCCACCCCTTGCCTCCCAGGCTGCTCTCGATTTGGCTCCAGCCGCGTCCCCGCCCAGCTGCCTGGGGAAAGTCGCCGAACCGGACCTACCCGTTGGCGCTGCTTGTCACCTCCCCCGGGCGGGCCGGGACCGCGGCTCCGGCGGAATGGGGGGCGGGATGGGGTGCGGCCGCGCCCAGGGTCCGGGGCGGGGGCCGAGGGCAGAGGCGGGCCCGGGCCGCGCTGGGGGTGGCGGGCGGCCCCACAGACCAGGAAGTTGGCGGCGAGCCCCGAGGGGGCGCCAGGCCACCGCGCGACCCCCTGAGAAGCAGGAGCCTCCCGCGCGGCGCGATCCCGGGCGCCTGGAGCCCGCGGGGTCCGGGCGGGGCGCGCACGTGTGTATACGAGTGCGGGGGCCCGTCGGGCGGCCGGGACTACAAGTTCCAGGGTGCCCAGCGGCGCGCTCGGGGTTTCTGGCCGCGCGGCCCGCCGGCTCGGAGCCGGTCGCCGCGGGCGTGCACACACCACCGGGTCCCGAGCGGCTCAGGGAGAGACTCTCCCAGCACCGTAAATAGAGTCCAAGTGGGCGGGGAGCCGCCCCGCGCCGCCCGCTCATGTCTCTGCGGAGCCAAGTGTCCGGCCGCCTGGCACAGCTGCGCGCGGCGGGGCAGCTGCTCTGCGTCCCGCGCCCCTGGCCCGGCCCCTCGGCGGGTGCCACGCGGACCCGCAGCAGCGCGTGCGGTCCCCCCGGCGTCCCTGGGTGCCTGCGGCCCCGGCGCGCGGACCCCAGCGGGAGTTGGGGCTTGGGGGGCGGCGGCGGTGGGGCGGAGAGGAGAGCCGGGGTGCGCACCTGGGCCCCCCTGGCCATGGCGGCGAAGGTGGACCTGAGCACCTCCACCGACTGGAAGGAGGCAAAATGTAAGTGTCAGCAGGAGGGGGGCGCGAGGGGCGAGGGCGGCCCCACGTGGGCCTTCCCCGGCTGGACAGCACCCCGCCCGCAGCCTCTTCCGCCCGGGAGGCCCGGGGAAGTTAAGGCCTCGTATGCCCCAGTATGGACCCCTCCACTCACAGCCACGCCCCCCCCTCCCCCGTGCGCCCGGCCCCCCCTGCAAACCACTTCACTCCGTACGAGGAGGTCCGGGCCCCCTGTCGGGGGTAGTGTGAGGAGGACGGCCTTACCCCGCCCGCATGGGTCCCAGGGCACCCCCAGAGATCATCCAGGACCTACCGCCTGACTCCGTTGTGCAGGAGGGAAACTGAGCTGCTAAGCCCAAGGTCACTGGGAGTTGGTGGCAGCCCAGCTGACGTTGGGCTCCTGAATTTCCCATGCTTTGTGTAGCATGGTTTCTCAAGTGGTGGCATTTTAGGCAGAGTGGCAGGAAGTGGGCCGAGGGGGACAGCTCTGGGTCTGGGGTCCCACCTGGTAGGATCAGATGGCCCCCACAGAGTGGCCTCCCTGGGCAGGCCAGTCCAACCTCCACCCCGCCCCTACCCTGCAGGCCTGTCTCTCTGGGCACATGATGTAGTGCCCTTTTGCCCTCATCCCTGGCCTCTGGCCACTTGTGAACAGTTTCTGCCCCATTCCTGGGGGACAGGGCTGAGGGGTTGGGGAGAGGCAGGGCAGGGAGGGATGGGGCATTATGTCTGTGAGAACAGTGACACCCCCCCCCCCCCGCACCCCCAGGAATCAAGCCATTTCCTACCGCTCCGGGATGGGTCGTGAGTCCTGGTCGGGCATGAGTCCCAGGGCTGGACTCTGGGCCCCCGCACAGAACAGCGAAGGGAGGGAACCCGGCCTGCAGAGCCCCAAATAGTCAGGCCGCCCAGCTGCCCCTGCCCTTCACAGCCTGCTCGGAGAGCTCCTGTAACCATTCCTGGCTGGATCCCCTTTCAAAAGCACAGGGGAGGTGGCTCATTGGCTGGGCCCCTGTGGTGGAGTGGGTGCGGCCACTGGGTCTGGCGGGTCTGGCGGGTCTGGCGAGGCAGGCCTGGGGCTGGCCTGGGGTGGGGGGTGGAGGTAAAGGCAAGGCGCCTCTCAGAATTAAGGTAGAGTTCAAGATGACTTCCCCCTGTCGTGAATAGTGTTCCTTCACCGGGATCTTAAAGCTCGGGCAGAACACTTGACTTTGCTCCATGCACACAGTGTCCGTCGTGCCCTCAGCCCTGGCCCTAGAACACTGGTTAGGGCGGGGGGTTGGGGGAACTGGCAGAGACTCCTGGCACAGGGACTGTCCCCACGGGGGAGCCTGCTTCCCCTTCCCTGTCAGAGAGCAGCAAGCCAGCTTGGTGGGAAAGAAAGCGAGGGAGGCAAGGGGCCCAGCCACCTGCTCCTGGATCTGCCATTATTTCTAGGATCCAGCTCCCCACCCCCTCCCGTTCCCCGGTGCCCCTTGAAAACTTCCAGACCTTGTGAAGCTGACAGGCCAGGGATTCCCAGACTACTGTGGTGTCTCTGCTTGGAGCTGGGATTTCCATTCAATCATCCTTTTTTTTTTTTTTTTTTAAAGTATAGTTAGTTACTTTTGGGGCGCCTGGGTGGCGCAGTCGGTTAAGCGTCCGACTTCAGCCAGGTCACGATCTCGCGGTCCATGAGTTCGAGCCCCGCGTCGGGCTCTGGGCTGATGGCTCGGAGCCTGGAGCCTGTTTCGGATTCTGTGTCTCCCTCTCTCTCTGCCCCTCCCCCGTTCATGCTCTGTCTCTCTCTGTCCCAAAAATAAATAAACGTTGAAAAAAAATAAAAAAAAAATAATAAAGTATAGTTAGTTACTTTTAAGTACTCTGTATACCCGACGTGGGGCTTGAACTCACGACCCCGAGGTCAAGAGTCTCATGCTCTTCTGACTGAGCCAGCCAGGCGCCCCTCATTCATCCATTTTTACTGAGCGCCTTCTATGCGCCCAGCACTGTTCTGCTGCTGGGATTCAGTCATGAGTGACATAGGCGAGGTCCCTGCCCTCACGAAGCTTCTTCCCTAGGGGAAGGAAACAGTTGAAAATGTGGTCAAGCCAATGGGGCGGTGCCAGACAGAGGTCACTGCTGGGAAGAAACCATGGCAGATGGCGCTGCCTGAGCTCCAGTATCCAGTCAGGGGGCAGTGTCGGGGGGGCAGCCTTGCCCCAGGAGCCGCGGCCCCGGGTGCAAAGACCCCCAGCAGGCTTGTCGGGGTGATCTGTGTGTTTTAGTGAAATATTTTTGAGTCACAGGTTATCCCCAAATTCAGGCGCTTAAAACGGCAAGCGACAGTTATTATCTCAAGTGTCTGAGGGTCAGGAACCTAGGGGTCGCTTAGCAGGGTGGTTCTGTGTGCGTTTCCAGGAGGCCCCGCGCTGGGACTTAGTTACGGCCATCCCAGGTGGCTCATTCACATCAAGTGGCCGTCGGCTGAAGGCCTGAGTTCACCGTGGGCCGGTGGGGAGGGGGGGGGTCTCTCCACGAGGCTGTTTGGGTGTCCTCACGACATGGCAGCTGGCTTCCCCCGGAGCACGTAACCCAAGACAGGGAGCGTGAGGCGACCAAGCCAGAAGCCACGGTGCCTTTCTGTGACCTAGTTTGGCCGACCCGTCTGTTTTATTCTGGGGCTTAGCATGGAGTCATGGAGTCTGGCCCAGATTCAAGGGGAGGGAAATTCGTCTCTACCTTTGGAAGAGATGAGGCTCAAAGAATCCGAGGCATCTTTTTAAAACCACCCCCCCCCCCCCCGGGGAGCCGCTTTAGCTGGACCCTGCCTCTGATTGGGGTCCAAGCCTTGGTCCTCCTGGGGAGGCCCCCACACCTTTCCTTCATTCTGCTTTTTTTTCTTTATTGCTGTGTAGTATGCCATGGCGTGGACCTACCCCACTTCAGGTGCCCATTCTGTGGGTGGGCGTTTCGTTTTCCAGTTCAGGGCTGTTGGGAATAACGCTGCTCTGATCATTCCCGTACGTGCCTTTGATGGACACATGCTCTCCTCTCTCTCGGGGACATACGGACATAGGCCCCCAAAGGCCTGTCTGTGCCTGAGACGATCCTCTCTCGAAGACTGGCACACAGTAACCAAGCTCACGGGAGCCTCATGGAGCGTCAGAAGGTTGACGCGGCGCTCTCGGAGGGAGATATGATCACACTGGGTCTGGAAACTTGCGTGTGCCTGCGCGGGGCCTCCTCTCCCCATGGAACAGCCACGTGGAAGCCAAAGCATAGTCTGAGTTCACTCAGCGGCCTGTGCTCTCAGCTGCGGAGCTGGGTGAACGATTGCGGAAGCCGCTCCCACCGTCCTGGGCAGGCTGGGCAGGGCTTCCCTGCAAGGGATGGGCCTGCCCACCGAGGAGTCCCTTCCTTGGGCGGTCGGTCACTCGCTCAGCCTTTCAGTCTCTTTGTAGTGCCGAGCGCCTGCCCTGGGCCCTGGGTGGAGGATGTCTCAGCTCCTGGCCCCGTGAGTCCCCTGGACACATGGCCGAATCCTGCCTCCCTCTAGGTATTCCCTTCCTCCCTCTTAAGCTGACTGGCCACTTCTGTAGACCCATTCTCCCTCTGGGTAAGTAAAAACCACCAGGCTGGATCTCCCTGGCTAGGAGACAGTCTTTGGGGGGAGCTCTCCGTTGTATCCAATTTTACTGGCCAGAGGATAATTTCCCTAATTTAATTCCCTCAGTGATGGGGGGGGGGGCCTCATCATCCCCCCAGATAGTGCCTTTTTATCAGAAGATTGTTGTACTGTAAAGGGAGTTGGGCACGAGGGGACTTAAGGTTGAGCACTGGGGGCATCTAGGGGCTGTGTCCCCACAGGGTGGGGTGCAGCCTTCGGGAGAAGGGCTACGGGTCCTCCTCTGACCTGCAGTGGGGGCAGAGCGAACTGCTAAAAAGAGGGTGGGCATTGGTGTCACCAGACATGGGCAAGCCCCAGCACCCCTGCCTCCACGCTCCCCGTGCCTCGGTTTCCCCATCTGCGAAACGGGGCCAACAGCACCTGATTCCGTGGGTCGTGCTGGGCTCGCATCAGAAACCATTTTGAATATGGTGGCCCCCACGGTGTCCCAAGGGTCCCCAGCGGCCCCCTTTCTTGCCACCCCTCAGGCCCGTCTCCCCTGTCTGCTCTGTTTTGGCCACAGCAACACTGGGCCTGTATAAACTTGTCTCCCTCGTGGTCTCAAGTGTTGGAGCCCCGACCTGTGTATCCTGAGCCTCGTTTCCTCTCCGCAAGCTCGCGCTCGCCTGTTCTGGTCCCGCTTTTCACTGGGAAGGGGACGAGGACTAATTTCAACCCCCCGTGGGTTTTCACGCAGAGCGGATGGTTTCTCTGATTTGATGACCGAACTGGGGAAATCCACAGGCACGTCTGGGAACTGGGGGGGGGGGGGGGGGTGGGTGGGTGGGGGGTGTCTTCCCCCACCTGTCTTCTGGGGAAGCGGCCTTGGCATATCCCAGCACGGGCGAAGGCGCGGGGGCCCAGGGAGAGCAATAAAGCTCCGAGGTGCCTCATGCCCCGTCTCCCCGTTGCCCGTGATTTTGACGAGGCCCTGCTCTTGGGGGACATTGGGCCCGGGTGATTAATGCCCCTGCCGCTGTGTTCCCCGAGCCCCGCCGTTATCAGCCCCATCCACCCGGCCTTCTCCAGAAGAGGAATCTCCCTCTGTGCCAGCCGGCCCTCACCTTTCTGAACACCGTCTAGCAAAGTGCCATAAAGACACTTCTTAAAACACATCATTGAGTTCCCGTTCGCCCGCTGCACTTTATGGCTCTGGCACAGGCTGCTTCCTCCAGCCCGGCTTTCGTGCCCGAGAGCCGCTGAGCGCTCCGTCCGGGGTCAGGCCTCCCCATCAAACTTTACTGCAAACATCTTTTTGCAACACCTGTCTCCCTGAGCTGTGAAATACTCTCGCCTCTCCGAAAAAGAAAATTAAAACGTGTGTTATACATCTTTTACGAGGAAACTAAAACTCGCTTGTGCCTTCAGTCTGCATCCTGCAAAAGGAGGAAGAAAATGTTACAAACGTGTGGGGCTTCTCTGACAGCGGAAGCCAAGGCAGTGAGGATGACCCTTGGTCCCTCGGAGCCCAGGGGGGAGTCACCATTGGCTTCTCCTTCCCCGTAAATCAGAGACCAGCGCCGTGTGTGGTTCCTCAGGGGTCAGTCAGGCCACAGCCTCGCTCTGGAGATGAGGACGTCGTGCCTCCCACGCTAGGTGTGTGCCTGGGGACCGTGCACTGGAAGAGACAGGCTGGGAGGGGGAGCCATCTTTTGGATTTTGCTAGAGGGGGCCGCGCGGGCTGCGCGGGTTGTGGGCCCCTCAGACCAGGCCCCAGATACCGGGGAGGACAGTGTCACGAGAGCCTTGGCCTGGGTCCCGTCCTGGCTTGCCCAGCCAGAGGGACTCAGCACACGGGAGTCCTGCAGGGTTGGCCCCGGTCCTGGCTGGCCAGTCCCTCCAGTGTCTCGGCAGGCTGGGGGAACCCCGCGCTTGGGCGTGCCAAAGCCTCCGAGCAGGGATATCTTTGGTCTCAAGCGTGCGAGATGGCAAATGTGGGCACCCAAATAATTCACAAAGTTCCTCTTCGCCTCCACGTTGGAACAGAAAAGCCCTCTCCCCCCCCATTTCGTCCTGTTTCGCTTTGCACTCTTCGAGTCTCAGCTCGCAGGAAGGGTCGTGTATCCGCTGTATGTTGCATTTTGCAGCTTCCAGATGCCCTGACAGCCCCTTCTCATTCACGGCCAGGCTGCCCGGTCCCTATCCCAGAGATGAGAAAACTGAGGCTCAGAGAGGGCGAGTGACCTGCCCGTGAACGTGATGTCGGGAGGTCGTGAACCCAAACCCAGTGGGACCAAGGAGCGGCTTGGACCAGCATGTTCCTTCCACTGTCTCTGTTCTTCAG